AAAAAAAAAAAAAAAAAAAAGCGGGAAAAATGGAAACCATTTCCAAGAAAAAAATCTTCTAAATCTTTAGTATCTAAAGTCTGTAAAATTTCTTAAAGGGAGGAAAAAAAAAAAAAACCTGTAGTATCTGAATGGAGTACAAGCTGTTGATTTGTATAAATGATATTAAAGAAAATGGCAAAAAGTTACCTTGCAAAGAACAGCAGGAATAACATTATTTTTTAAAAGATAAGATGGAGTCTCATATGTCAAGTGTTAGCAATTTAAAGTAGGTAAAAAATGGGTTAGATTAATAACATTTAGATGATCTCTCTACATTTAATCTCTGATTCTGTAATTTGGTACATTATTTTTTCCAAAAGGAGAAACATATATTACTCAAGTTTTAAGAAATAGCAAGAATATTAGTTCTAATAAAAACGTTCTTAAATAACCATGCCGATTGTGCTTTCCTTTTGAATATTTAAAAATGGGCTATTATTAAGGTGACTTTACTACTTACTGATTGGCATCAAGCAAAACAACTTTGACACCATTCACAACACATTCAGTGTCCATCGGCAATGGATGGATATATTGTTCTTGCACATGAAGCTTGTTCTTCAACAAATTGCCAGTTATCTGCAAAACAGGATGTACTTATTGCTGATACAGTAAAACACTAAATAAGTATTTTATTTCATACTAGTTTAGAACCACAGCATCTTAATAATATCCCTGCTTTTCCACTTATATTCAAATAAACCCTCCACAATGCCAGGAAGAAGTTCCTCTAGTTACTCTGTCACTACTCTGTTTCAACACTATCACTGACTCTCTCTCACCTGTAAAAGTTAATCATCCCCAGCACGACATACAAAACCCTTGGTGAGGTGGTCTCTGCTCACTCCTGTGGGTTTGTATCCCGCTATACCCTATCTTGAGTTCTAGCCATTCTGAATTATGTGAAGCGTCTGGAATGACCATCTTTCCCAGGTGCCTGTGCTTTTACATAACTTTACTCTTTACCTGAAATGCCCTTTCCTCTGCCTGGTTCTGGAATCAGAACGACCTGCATTCAAATTTGGACTCTGCCATTACTAGTTCTGTAACCTGGAGCATTCACTTAACCTCTTCAAACCTTAGTTGCTTCATTAATAAAAATCCGACACTTGAAGAATGCTGTGAGAATTATTCAATCAAATTCTAGCTAAAGCCCTTAGTAATAGGCATTAAAATGTTTACCTGTTAATAATTAAGTCAAGTTCTCTCTTTCACCATGAAACTGTCTCTAACCTTAGCCCAGGACAGAGTAAAGCACTCCCTTCTCCTTACTCTTAGGCACTCAGTTCATTTTTCTATTATAATACCAATTCCATTGTGGTATTTATGAATGTTTCCTCTGCAGGCTGTAAGCTCCTTGAAGTTAGGTACAGTCCTGTCCCTCCACATCATAGGGGGATTGGTTCCAGGACCCCTGAGGACACCAAATGTAGGGATGCTCCAGTTCATTATATAAAATGACACGGTATTTGCATATAACCTATGCACTTTCTCCCATATATCTTTAAATCATCTTTAGGTTACTTATAATACTTAATACAATGTAAATGCTATGTAAATAGTTGTTAGACTGTATTTTTATTTGTATTATTTTTTATGGTTGTATTGTTATTTTTTGTTTATTTATTTTGAGTATTTTCAATTGGTTGCTACAGATACAGAACCCACAGATATGAAGGGCTGATTGTATTTTCCCTTGTATATCCATTTAGGTATTCAAAGAAGGTTCACTGAATGAAACTTGGAGTTAAGTAAAACAGTTTATCTATTGTTTCCATGTAATAAAACATACATTTAAAAAAATTGATTGTAACTGTTGACACTAACTCATTTAATCTTAGAACT